TGAGATACAAGAAATCAGTCTCTGGTGGCACTTTTGTGAGATTTTAGTAGCTTTTTTATTATATATATCATAAAAGTCTTTTGGAACATCCTTTACTATCAAAACCAAAGCTTTTAAAGCTTCTAACATTGCCACAGGGACTTGCACCTAGCATTAAGAGGATAGAGCCTGAATACAACAAAACTAAAGAATTAGAAATCTTGGTTAGTGTCCCTCTTGGGGTAATGTTCATATAAAGCTGAACTTTAAAATACCAATCTCATTTTTAATAAATTCCTGTGACTTGTTTAGCAGAACTAGGAAGACACTACTATGTACTGTAACTGGCACCTTATCAGAGAGATGTCTGGAACCTTTTGCTTGTATCTTTTCTGCTTATTTTGTGCATGAAGTTCAGTGTAATTTTTTGGGTTTGATGCGGTCTCATCAGTGTTATTTCTCAATGCCTGAGCAGTGCTTAATGATATCCTAAAGGGGAAGGCTACCCATTAGCACTAGTAACAAAGCAAAGTAGCTCACATAAATTAATGATTCATTCTCCTGGTAGTCCTTGACATTGGGAAATATCAACTTTGTTTTATTGATCAGAAACACAGAGAAGTGAGACAAAATGACTCTCTGCAGTCATGCAGGAAATTTGTGCTAGGCCCAGGAAAAAAATGCATCTCCTAAATTCCACTTCAGGGCTTTACATTTGAGTAGCTCCGTGACAAATCTGGAAGGAGGAAAAAAAAGATTTGTCCTGTTCTGTCAAAAAGAGTTTCTCCTTCATCATTTTTGTCCAAGCAATTAATGGTAATGAACAACATGGTGCTTTCAAGAGTAGCTCTTACCTGGGGGTTATTGGGATCCATCCCCATCAGAATTTTATTATTCTGATAAATGTTTGTTGAGTCTTATTTCCCCTGAGTAGTAAGTGAGGATGGTGCAAATAATTGCACCAATGCTGGCACCACACCAGACAGGAAGAAGATGGATGTGTTGCCTAAACAGTATCAGTAGCAATTCCCACCAACCAAAAGCTTTAAAGCTTGCTGGCCTTATTGCAAACTATCCATATTGACTCTTTCCCATTCAGTTCTTTATTTTACAATAACTATATTTTTAAACCATTCATGCATAAATACTACTGAATTAACCAGGATATTGTCTAAGTAAACATCAACAGAAAATAAGCTTTGCAGATTCACAACTGTTAAATCAGTAACCAAACAATTACTTCATAAAATATTTTTATTAGAATTCCACGGATTGCCTAAGAGCATTTTAGTTTCTACATGTCTTTATTCCATTTCTCTTTTGAAGAAGAGACAAAGAAATGAAAGCATTGCTGCTCTTCTTTCTCTCCAGACTTACCTAGGCTGTCCATAGCAAGAACATACCTGTTGGAGGCAGCTTTGTGGGTTCTGCTGGTAAAAACTCCTGCAGTGGTAAGCACTCCTTGGAAAATGTAAGGTCATCAAGTGCTATGCCATCTTTGGGACCATTTCCAGCTATTCCTTCAAAGACAACTTGAAAATCTTCATTTCCATTTCCAGTCAGTGTCAGTGCCTTGTGCTGCCAGAAATTTCCCTGGTTTCCAGTAAGATTAAGGAGAATTCTTTCATGTTTTAATGTAGTTCTTTGGTAGACAATCAGTGATCCAACGTGAGCTCCATACATATGGTAATAGAAAATTATCTGTAAGCAAGAACAAGAACATCAAGAATGGAATAGGTGACTTCAGGCACATTCTCTATTGTATTCACACTAATTCTTAAACTGAGCATTACTAGTTACATTCACAACATGCCATAAATTTTACTAATTGAAAAACAATTTTTGAACTATCCCATAAGCCAAACTTTGAAGCCAGCAATAAAATACTCAAAAGCTGATCTTTCATCCCTTTGAATAACTCTTGCATGTAAATGTAAATGAATTAAAATACTTAATAAGGAAAGAGAGGAATAGAGTAGTGCCATTTACAATATGAGAAGTAGTTTGTTTCACTGAACAATTATTTGGTTATAGATGAGGTTGTACCAGATTATAGAGGGTGTAATTAGAAAATAATCTAATCTATTATAGGAGCAAATCTTCTACATGGACAAATGAAAAAAAAAATCTAAAATAAGATATAAGATGTCTTTGGATTAGAAAACAGTGATGTATTTATTTTTAGTTAGAATGAGGAAAACAAATTATGAAGCACAAAAGTAACGTCAAATAAATACGGAACATGAAACAAAGCACTGTGAAAATTCTTCACCATTAACTGCACTCTAGGTTATTTCCACTTCAAAAACATCAAAGGAATACTTGTATTTAGTCAAATTAATACTTAATCTATTTCATTATCTTTTTTCTGACAATGATCAGAATATTTCCAAAAATTATGTAGGATTCTGAAAGAAGGTAATTCACGTTATTATATGCAAGAACATGTCTATAGCTCAGATTTCTTCCCAGCATAATGCATGGCATAAGCACTGAAGTATGAAAACTCTTAACTTATTTACTGTAGCTATAAAACATAATAGCAGATATTATTATATTTGTAATGCAAATGTAAAGCCATGTTTCTTTATGTTACCTGGTGCTATAGGATTTATAGACTTCTGCAGTCTATTGCATTGCCTAAATATACTATTTTTAAAAAATAACCTACATTTCTATTTAATTTATTTTCTTTAATCATTGATTAGTAAAACCACCAAGGGCTTTGTGTTCCAATTCTTTTGAAAGTTTTACTGTGTTTACTTTTAGAATGTCTCCTGTGCAATGTAGTCAAATCTAATTTTTATAAGTCAGTTTTCTTACTTGAAAATATTTATACTCACCTGACATTTGCTTGTTCTGTGACTACTCTGTTTCTCTTGAAATCCTTCTTTAAATGAGGATTTTCTTTTCAATATATGTATAGATATCTTTAGATCATATAATGTTTTCACATTTTTTTAGGATTAATGCCTTTATTTTTACCACTGTTGAATTTTGTCATAGATTTTCCCACCACAGAACTCCTGACTGACTACAGTTCTTTTCAAAATTACAAGACACTATTTTGTATATTTTTCTTTCTTTTATTATAATTGAACTATACTCCATCCCCCTTCCCTAACCCCAAATCTTTCTTTCTGTACTTCATATTTACTTGCAATATGCTTATCTCAATTACACTGAATGATTTTATATATTAATATCAACATACTGACCTTCTGTTCTATTACATCATTTCAAGATATATCATATAGGAGTAATATCATCTTGCTAACAGCTATATACAGATTTAGTTTTAGGCATATATCTAAGTCCTTTCATGGCTGGGGCCCCACATTATTCAAACTTGAATTCATGTGAAATATTCATTCCCATACTTCTTTGTTTTACATCAGGACATAGGCTAGCTCTCTAGTCTTAGATCTACAAGTCTCTCTGGATGTTGTCATTCTCCAACTACCTACTTAATATTTTCAGCTGTATCCTGAAGAATTTATAATAGAGTTTTGAAAGAATTATAACTGGTCTGATTTGTAACTACTTTTCTCATATTGAAATAAATTGAAAAGGTTACAATTCAGAAATTTACAGACAATATATAGCATTTGCAAAAACAACTATCCAGTGCTCCCAGCTACATACACCATAAAGAAATTGCTGATATTAATGACATCTTTCATGTTTTTTATTAAAATTCTTTGATGTCCTAAATTCCCTCAGAATCACAAGGTGTCCTACATGTTTCTGGTAATAATTACAACTAAGTTTAATACTTTTTTTTCAACACCATCTCTTTTGGCACCATAGTCTGCGACAATGGTGCTTCAACATTGGGTTGAAGGAGCACTTCTGGTAGAGATACCGGGAGTACCAGTCTGGTATCTCTACACAGTGTTCTACAGTGAATAATAAATCAAAAAGGTAAATAAGGGTTATTTTCGAACACAACGTTGGTATTATTCACTTATAATTATTGACAAATATTCATTTTAAAACTTTCACTTTGGGTTCGACTCAGATTTTAGAAACTGGGACGCCACTAATTTTTGCCTTGACATTTAAAGACTATGAAAATGTGGAAAAATGCCATTTCAAAACAATGGGGAGTTGAACTTGCTGGAAAATTATTCTTTCAGCAAAACTATAAAAGATATATAAGAACTGTTAAACTTTTCATCCCAGGTTTGCAAAGAAATGACCAAGCTGAAGTCACTACAATGTGCTGGAGTGTTGTGGGAGATCAAAGCTTACATTTCTGCATTTTCTAGAGAGCTGATAATAAAATCTTCTGTCACACTCCTACCATTTGCAGTTGTACTCTTTGAAAACCATTTGTTATTGTATTTATACACATTTTCTCCATAAAATTGCAAACTATTAAATAGTTGTTTGCTACTTCGGATGAGTATTGCATAAGACATTGTAAATCAGACCCTCTATTCACTGTCAAGTTCATCTGAATCTCCCAGAGCACAAATTTACTTACAGAAAACATTTTTCTCCCATAGCAAAATACACATTTTCTTGAGATTTCAAGAACATAAGATCAGGTCCTGACTTTTCAAAAAAAAAAAGTGTGTTTATTTGTTTTTCCTTCTCAGGAATTATTTCAGTGATTCCTTTATTCATTTTATGAGTACTATCTCGGTGCAATATAGAGATCAAATTTTTTATCCCTAATAGTACCCCACCCTCATATACCTTGCAGTTTTTATTCCTTTTGCTTAGGACAGGACTAGAAATCCTAGCTTTCTCGCCTGGCAGCTGAAAAAAGGAACTCTTTATAAAAATATAATGACCAGATGGCTCTTGCAGTGTATGATCAGTAGCTGGTCCGGTGCCCAATTTTGGAGTACTGCTAGTTCTCAGGTTCCAGTCAAAATCATCATTTTCATCTTGCTTCCATCCACAAAGATCAAACTCAAAGTCGCAATGCCCAATAGATGTACCTGAAAGACATTTGCATACACATGAAAAGAGACTTTTTTCCGGAATGTAATTAGATACATATACTGGACCCTCGTGAAGGGTCTGGAGCACAAGTCTGATGAGGAGTGGCTGAGGAAGCTGTGGTTGTTCAGCCTGGAGAAAAGGAGGTTCAGGGGCAACCTTATTGCTCTTGACAACTACTGGAAAGGAGACTGTGGTGAGGTGGGGTCTGGCTTCAAGTCACGTCAGGAGGTTAAGATGGATATTAGGAAAAATTTCTTCACTGAAAGAATTGTCATGCATTGTAAAAGCTGCCCAGGGAAGTGACTGAGTCAGCATCTCTGGAGGTATTTAAAAGATGTGTAGATGTGGTGCTTAGGGACATGGTTTAGTGGTAAAATTGGCAATGCTAGGTTAACAGCAGGACTTGATGATATCAAAGGTCTTTTTCAACCCATGTGATTCTATGATTATCTACATTTCTCCTTAAGTTGTATTTAATTCCTAGAAAAAGAGAAAGTTGTCATAATTTTGGTTGATTTTCATATAAATCAATATATGTGTTTTTTACCAATTTTCAAATCTTGAATGTCAAAACAGCAGCCATGGTGAGTAAACTGTCCACTTAAATTATGGTGAGGTCACCTGCACCACTCTAGAAGTTTAAGCTACATATATTTTTCCCTCTATGCATCTATAAGTTAATTATAATGATTACCAAGTAAGACTAAACTTGCTGAAATAAGCTGCAGTTTCAGCAGAGAGACTTTTGACTGTGCCCTGAATATTCTTACTATTACTGCTGGAAAGGAAAGTGCTTTGAAGACAAATTTGGAAACTGTATCAATTATTTGGTCTGACAATATAAGAAATTACAAAAGCTCTCTTGCAAAACATATGCAAAACCTTAGCCTCTTCTGGGATCTGATAAAGTTCAGCCATTTAAAAGCAGTTTTATTTAATTGACAGCTGACCAGAAGCGTCCGTAATGAGGCCAAGGAACTGGAATCCATGGAATCTACATATGTAGCCAAAATCTCAAAAAAATATGAGTAAACAGTTTTTAAACATTTCAGAAAATAAAAGCCAAAGTTTGAGAATCATTTTCAGCAAAGTAATTCCAATTGAAATACTCTTCAGTTTTAATTGCAGAAGATCTGAAGATCCCTATAAAGGTTAGTCTTGTAGTATTTCTGGATTGAAATCACTGAGGAGTTAAATAGCATGAAAATAATTTGCCAAATACAGTCCCTTCACCATGTACTTTAGTTCAATAGAATATCAGCATACTTTTGTTTCATAGAATTTGTATTCAGTGAGAATTTGATAAACTTTATTCATATTCTCCATAAAAATGAGGTACCTGTTCATAAGGTACCAAATAATGCAGATTTGATTGTGTGAGCCTTTCCCATCATTGTAGTAGAAAAAAAAAAGAAAGTGTAATACCATATATTGTGATCCAGAAGGAGCCATTTGATGTGAAACATCATTCTTTGAATCAAATACTACATATGCTGTTTCCTGATATCTCTTTTAAAACCAAAATTGTACAATATTGAGATTAAAATGATTTGCTGAGAGACCCGACAATCCTTGAAATATCTAAGGAGGTAGGTCCCTCATCTCCCAAAGGTATTATGCTTGAAGTATTTTTTTCAGCTTTAATACATTCTTTTCATATGGAAAGCAGGATAATTTTATTCTGCTTTTAAAGACAGCTGCTTTCTGAGTTATTTTAAGAAATTCATTAACAGCTCTTTGTATTTTCCATAATGTGATTTTAAATTAAATAATAGTAATTTCAAGTCCTTAAAAGCCAAGGAATAGAACCAAATTATTACTTTAAGCAAATTATTCTTGTTTGTTTTCTTAGCTGATGAGCTGTCAAAAGTATTCAAGTAATAAAAATTCACAGCAGGCACGGTTACTTATGATAATTATATTAAAAAAAAATCCATTCTTACTGCAAGTAGTAGGGCTTTCATCCGAGTTATCTGCACAGTCATTTACAAAATCACACAGATTATTCTTTGGGATGCAGTACTTGTTGGCACAGGTAAATTCCTCTGATGTGCAAGGTTTGCCTGAGATGAGCAAAGGGGAACAATCTTCAAAGGTAATATCATCCACTGCCACGTCTCCCATGTAACTGACACCACGTTTTGCCCTGAAAATAACCTAATAAAAATTACAGAGCTATTACAGTAAGCCACTGCTAAGGTATAGAAAAGCTTAAACACACAACATGAGAAGATCAGAGACTGGTGGTTCTTGCAAATCTTAGAATATGAAGAGGTCGATTCCTCAAAACACAGTCCTACAAAAGCTTGTACTACAGTTTGTACAGATCTGTCACTACAGGTACTGAAGAGTCATCTTCTAACATTACCAAGCAGAAAAAAAAAAAAGGAAATAAATTGTGCAACACAGATACCAGTCCTCACTCATCCTGAATTAATAGCATGGGTTTCACCTACTTCTGCAAAGTAAGTATGAAAAAAGAGTAGTCATTTATTCCCATAAGTGTAAAAATAATGTTAAAATTTCATTAAAAGTCCATGACAGAAGTACCAGGGAATGTAATACTTAAAAATATGTTCCTGACTCTGTTTTTTCTTCATAAGACTACAACTAAGCATGGCAAGTATCTCTAAGAGGCTTGGGAATCTACTCCTATTCCAAAGCAAACATCATGCTCAAGATTCTTTTTCAAAACCCAGATAATTTTACTTACTACACAGTAAGGAGAAAGAAGTAGAATAGTTTAACCTAAGTTGGGTTCAAGGACAGAAAGGTTTCTGTCTTAAAAATGAATATCAGTCTGAGATTAAAGAGGAGTGAGAAATCTCAAAAAAACACTTCAGTCCAGCTCAGATAACCACTCAGACAGATAAAAAGATGACTTTTGCTATTGGGGATGAGAGGTACATGTACACGGCAAAAAAGGAAATGAGGAGGTAAAGTATGCATAATATAGAAGTACTAAAGCCAGCTGTGTAGGAAACACATAATATAGGAATATATACCTGAAAATTGGATCGAATTCCCAAGAACACTTCTGCTCTGTTCCACTGTGCACCTTGGCTGCCACTTTGAGTCCACAATTTAGAAGTCCTGTTACTGGTTTTACAGAGTACCTAAAAAGAGTAATAATTCTAGGTCACAAAAAGATATCTTTCCATTTCCAACTCACTTTAGGGTCCCTTAAATGTATACGAGAGTACGAAAGCATCCTGTACATCTCGTCTCTATACCATCATTAAATATCACAAATCATAGAATATCTGGAACCGGAAGGGACCATCAGCTCCAAATTCCTACTCCTCGCGTGACAATCTAAAATGATATCATGTGACTGGGAGTGTTGTCTAAATGCTTCTTGCACTCTGACAGGTGTGGTTCAGTGTCCACTTCCCTGGGGAGCCTGTTGCAGTGCCCAACCACCCTCTCAGTGAAGAACCTTTTCCTGATGTCCCATCCAACGCAAACGGATATACCAGCATAAGTGACCATACTGAGGAAATGCTTTAAGGTTTTCTGATCTCAGAAAACATACTCAGTCCAGAGTCTTAAAGCGGACTGACTGATCTCATTAATTTATCCAGGGTGGCTAACAGTGAATAAAAACTATTCATTACTGGGTTGTAATTCAGTTGTAAAACATGGAAAAATGACTAACAAGAGTTACTAGTTTATACATACATTAGACTGCTCTTCTGGGACAGATTTTCTTGTCCTGATTCTTATGAAACATTTTTTTCTTTTACAAATAAAAACTTGTTCTTTTTTTTATAAAGACAAAATTTCATATGTTTGGGCAATGAAAGACTTGTAAGCCCACATACCCCTACAAATAGTCAGTGAACTGGGGAAAGACTGCACTTTTCAACATGAGCAGAAAGCCCTAAACATGCTTTGCTCCAACCTCTTGAGCATCCAAATTCAACTGAGCTGACAGTAACAACAAGATGGGTGTTTGATGAAGTGTGTCAAGCTGGGTCTCCAGCTGGTACTAGCAGAGCTAAACATCCATTCACCAATTGCCTGAACTACTTCTGCATTCAAGGATTTAGTACTACTCTGCGTAATCTTCTTAGGGCAGAGCAGGCATTTTTCATCATAATGAAAAGAAATATTTTTTGTTTTAAATTTATGCAGTCCCATGAGTGTATTTGCTGTTGCATAACAGGTAAGTTCTGCCAGCAGAACTTACACACAAACAGCAGATCCTCACATAAGGAGCCTTCATTACAGGGGAACAAAAGGAACACATAGTATATTAAATTGGATAGAAAAACAAAGTGACATCTGACAATACAGACAAGAAGAACTGTCTCTAGAAGACATAAATTTAAGGGAAAATAAATAAATTAGAGAGAAAGGAATTACAGATCTTATTTGAGAGAATAAAGGATGCTGAATAAGAAAGGCTCTTTTTTACTCTCACATACAAACTATATTTTTATATGAAGATATGTGGGTGACTAAAGACACATACACACATGCTTTTACATAGACTGTGAATTATCTATTCTATTATATATCCAATTTGATACTGAACGCAGAGGTGACTGAGTGACTCATCCTGAGTATTTTTTTTCAATCCATTCCTGACGCTGTAGGTATTTTGTAACAATTATGGGAAATCCCATTTTATGTTGTGTAGCAAAAAAAAAATTGTTTAGAACAATGCTGCTGTTTTGTTCATTCTCTTTGCCGTGACTCTGATCTACAAGCTGCTAATGAGTTAAATTTCCTTTTAAGAAGTGTTTTTATTTTAATTAGAGTTAAGAAAAAAGTATGATTAAGCACATTTGTTACTTCTATGTCATAGAAATAGTTCAGTGGTGCTGACATTAATATAATTAAACTCTTAAAGTTGTATCTTCAACTTTCCAAGGAATAAGCTATTTCTGCAAAATTTTAGCTCAAATTTGAATACAGTTACTTCTTTTGTTCCTGCTCCCACATTCAGGCAAAGACTTTGTTGTCCTACTCTTGTTTTTCAGTGTCAAAGGTTATTGTGAAATACCAGGCTTTTGCATGTATGGAAGTTCCAACCATGGTATGTCTACAAAGTCAGAATTTTTGTTTTTTATAGGTTATATTTTCCCCAGCTTATTGAAGCTAATGCCTCCTTTAGATCATAACATATTGAGAGCAGTAGAGTGTTAGTAATTGTTCATTTTCCCTTATTAGCAGCCTAGGCTTTAATGAAATTAAAAAAGAAGGCATAAATTTCCTCACAGCAATTTCATGCAGTAAAACAAAACAAAACAAAACAAACAAACAAAAAAAAACCAAATCCAATTAACAAAAAACAGAAAATAAAAACAAAACAAAGAGCATCTCCATACCTCCAGAGAACCAATTGTTGAACCATTCATGTAGTTCCAGAATATGATTTTGCATCTGGGACCTGTAAGGGAGATGACTGGGGTAACAAAGTCAGCTGTGTGACCAAATTCTCCATTTGAGCTATCTGCGAACAGATACCAGCCTTCTTCAGTAAACCTGCTCAGAGAAAAAGGGTTATCTTTATTAAAACAAAAATGATAATCATAATTAAGTTATGATTGCAATATTTCCTTAGATAGTATCTGCTGTCTGGGTATCTGGATACATTTTAGTATGTGGCCAGAATCCCAAAAAACTCTTGCAAAGGCAGCTGATATTTTCATATCAGAGACTGGTAAAAAAAATAAAGTGCTGAAGTCAAACTTTATCCATGGGATCATACAGATGTGGGATAGAAGGGCCTCTGGCTTTCCCTACAACCTTCTTCCCTCAGGGAAATCAGAGGGTTCAATTCTGGCTTAAAGTCAAGAATATCCAAGACACTGGGTGCAACTTTGTCTCCTGAGCTGTCGGAAGAGATGGAAAGATGAAATAAGCATCAGACTCTGTGTGTACAGAGAGACGAGAAGAGAAGTTTTAGTGTTTTGGGCATCTAAGATTTGGTCTCTAAAAAACCTGCTTTCCAAAGTAAAGTGCAGATGTTAAACAAAGATAAGATTCTGCTCTCCCCATTGAAGGTGCTTCATGCTTAGTGCTTCTCAAAACAACCTTTATAACAAGAGCTCATAAACCTGATGATGTAGCCTATGTTTTTAAATAGGTGCCGGTGTTAGGCTTTCCTTGCTTTTCAGTTTTCTTGGTTGACCAGGTTCTGAGCAAGGACTCTGTAAAGCTGCACCAGTACAGCTGTGAGAAGGCAGTGACCACGCCCAGCAAGCACTGCTGAGAGAAATACGTCATGGCATCAGACCCTTCCCAGACTGAAAGTCCTGCCTAATGGAAAAGTTAGGAATTTGATTGTGCAGATTCAGAAACAGCCTTGAAACCAGAATTGAAAACTAGAACAAAACATGCCTCCCCCCCCAAATAAAATGACATTTAAAATATGGTACATACCATCATTTAGTGTAGGTCAGACATGTTACAAGTGAAATCAGTGAAAACTGTTCATAAACTCAGCAGGGACTGAAATTAGTCGGGGGGGGGGAGATTCCAGAATTATGATCTGTGGAAATCTGGATCTTCTCCACAGTTTTATTTTTCTTTTCATTCAGAGATAGATGAGAGAATTATTGCTGAAGCTTTTCTTTTATCACTGAATTCTGGCAATTCAGACATCTTTATAATTTCTTCCTGCATTTACACTATCCTTTAGATAGCAACCTAAATATTAAAAGTTTCTCCTAATAAACTGCAAGTACTACAATTAATAGTAGAAAACTTTGAAAGCTCATAGTCACAGGTCTTTCAAGCAGGCACATTTTCGGAAAAATAATTTGTTTCCCTCCTTTCTGCTGAAGAAATATGTTAGTTCAATGTAACAATTTTAGGTTTCTTCTTTTCCCTGGTGCTGAGTATTCTAGCAGGGTCTGGCCCAGAGGTAAAAGAGTATCCAGTTCTCTTAAGATTTGTAAAAACTTTTAAAAATTCAGGATTTACTCTCCTACTGGGAACACATGCCTTCGGTGGCCCAAGAGAGCCAGCTCTGTATTTACCACAGCATTCAAGAGGACTGTAAGAAGCAGAATGACAAAAAGGTCTGAAAAGAAGTAGCACTTCCAGCCCTCATACTTCCTAGGTTATTCAGTATTACATCCATGCCTCTCAGTGAGATTAGCTTGAAGCAGTGCTAGAGTACAGTCAGTACTATGACGAAATTCAATCATCCATGTCTTCTTGGTGTATTCTGTCAGACACGTTTTTGTCCTGAAGGCAGACCAAAGATCATGTCTCTACCTAGATACTGGTTGCCCCACAGCACATCCTAAGAAGACAGAGGTCATTGCAATTTTTACCTTCTTTCAGTGTTGGCTACAATATCAGATTTAAAACTGGTAAACCAGAGGAAAGTTAAGTTTACCAGTGAAACACTTCACAGAGTGCTAGTCATTAAGCATGGTAGCAGTATGCAATTACAAGAATATTAAGGTAATGTGGGAAAGTAACAGGAAACAGAAGGATCAGAAAGGGACAGGTAAGTATGTGTAAAACACCTTTGTTGAATTTCACTCCTGTCATGGAAATTTTTACACTTAGGACTACAAGACTTACATACTTGTGATCTACCCGTGTTTAAAAGAAATGCTTTCTCCTAGGGACATTAACTTACATCAAGTTTGCTCACAGAAGAAAGACATTTCTCTGTCTTGAAGTCTTGAAGCTGTCTGGTATAGTAGCCTACATGGAATTTACAGGGAGGTGCACATTTTATAGGGGGAAGAGTTTGAAGAAAGTAATAAGAAATCATTCTGTTTGCATAGAGTTCATAAGCTAGAGGAGTTGAGGGTCCAACTCCTGTGGATGCATCTTTTGTGGCAGAGCCAGCTAACATATGTGTAATTATCTGTTCAGTTTGTCAAGCTCTGACTTTTAAAGTAAACGATTTCTTAGATGGACTACCTGTATTTTAAACTAGTAAAAAATATACAGTGACAAGGTATTCCAAAATTTCCATAAACAAAAATTATGTCTCTCTTAGTCTGCTCAGAAGTCATTCTTGTCTTCACCCACCATCTTTGTTTTTAAGTCATCTTTAATAAGGATTAACAGTTTCTTATTGTGTAATTTAATCATCTAACACCTGCTTAAATTCCTTTCTTTCCTATTCCATAAAAATATTCCCCTGATTTTTTTTTTTTTTTAAATGAGATCTCAAGGACTCGATGGTAAAGTGTAAAACAAGATATTGTTCAACATATATAACAGTGAATAAATCTGGCTTTCAGTGTAGATCTTATGTAAGTGCTGAAATTCAGCAGAAAAAGTAAGGCTCCCCTGCCAGTAGCTTCAAGAGCTCAGGCTAATTTGGAAAATTATCCCACGGAAAACCTTTTAGTTGGCAGCTACAGTAAGTGTCATTAAAATCTTGATACTTACCCTTTGAAAATAATTAATTTTACCTCTGTACCGAAAGCATTCCCTATATAAAGACATTCCTGTGCCAGTACAATAATTCTAATTAATTTCAGAGGGAAATTCACAACATTTTAATGGATATAAAATTTTCAACCTAAGCAACTGACCTATATTTGCACACTTGTCTTTGTTAATAGCTTGATATTTCAAATATATTTTAAACTGTAGTTGGCAAAGAATGGACATTCATAAAAGAATCGTCACTGTATTTCCATCTTCAAAGCATTCAAAAGAACTCAGTGAACTGAATATACTAAATGGGAATTAGTAGTGAGGGAAAGATTAGATGTGTTAAGAAAAGTTGGAGACTTATTAAATAATTAAGCCTATCTTAAATCTGGTAGTGTTACAAGTAATGTCTCATGCTGTGAATTACATATTTCACAGTAGTAATTGTCTATTGTTGGAATGTTTGAAAGTGGATCAAAAACTAATCGGCTGAACTTTCTTGTACAGAAAGTTTAAGCTCTGATTTAATTAATTGCTGGACATATCTTAGTTTATAAAGTGTTAATTCATTTATGTGTCTTCTACACATTGTTTGAGAATGCCTAATTAAGCATTTAAATGGACTTATAAAATACCTTTTACTCATTATTTTCTTTAGGATTGAAAACTAAATCTGATTAGAAAACAAACAACTCCATTTCATTAAAGAGTCCTGATTTCCTTCCAAATATCAGCAACAAGAAAAGAAAACAAACAAAATCCGCAGAATCAACCAAAATCACAGAATCAATCAGGTTGGAAAAAAACTCTGAGATCATTGAGTCCAACCCATGACCCAACACCACCCTGTCAACTAGACCATGGCACTCAGTGCCACAGCCAGTTTCTTCTTAAATACCTCCAGGGACAGTAACTCCACCACCTCCCTGGGCAGACCATTCCAACTGTCTGATCACTCTCTCTATAAAGAATTTCTTTCTAATGTCTAACCTAAACCTCCTTTGGCACAGTTTAAGACCGTGCCCTCTTGTCCTACTGCTGATTGCCTGGGAGAAGAGACTGACCCCCACCTGGTACAACCTCCTCTCAGGCAGTTGTAGAGAGTGATGAGGTCACCCCTGAGCCTCCTCTTCTCCAGGTTAAACAGCCCCAGGTTACTCAGCCTCTCCTCAGAGGGCCTGTGCTCCAGTCCCTTCATCAGTCTTGTTGCCCTTCTTTGGACCCTCTCCAGCCCCTCAATATCCTTCCTGACCTGAGGGGCCCAGAACTGAACACAGTACTTGAGGTGTGGCTTAACTAGTGCCGAGTGCAGGGGCAGAAATCACTGCCCTATTCCTGCTGGCCACACTGTTCTTGATGCAGGCCAGAATGCCATTGGCCTTCTTGGCCACCTGGGCACACCGCTGGCTCATGTTCAGCTTCCTGTTGAAGAGATGGAAGTTTCAGTTTCCTTAGAGTTATACGTATCCAAAGATTAGCAAACCATAATAAATTTTGAAATTCAGAAAGCAACAGCCTCCACATGCATTTCCATTTTTCTCTGAAAATATGTAAATACTGTGCAGTATCTACAGAGCAAATCAGAGCCCCATAGACATATTGGACTTATTGAAAGTATTATTCTTCAGCTCTCCAACACCATCTGCCCAGGATGTGCCAGGTTAGAGACCTGCAGGGTCTATTAGACCAGACGGGTTTCTGTACAGAGATAAAAACCAAAATAGTGGTCAAGCAAACCCAGTAGGGCCAAAGATGACGTTCAAAAAGAGCACTGTCTTGACCAAAGGGGAAGCACTGTGGGATACTAGACACATCAGGAAAATGTGGGCCAACAAAGCTCAAGCTGATGGTTTGAATCAGACAAGGGAGTGGCTTCAATTTGCATTTGCCACATCCTCTGCATCCTTTATCAAGGTAGCGGTGCTGGGGGAGATCACTCTCTTCTCTAACTTCTTTCCCCCAAGAGCATAAATAACCAGCTAACAGAAGTTTTACCACAGTTAAAGTATTTGCTGGAGAATTTTCATTTTTGATTAGCTATGATTTCCTAGTTAAAATCATTTCATCAAAAGATTTCTGAGAAAATTTTTAGTTAAGAGGAAGCTAAATTCTTTTAATTCCTAAAAAACATA